TTCCTGGAATTACCCTTATACATGTACCTTTTTACTTTCATGCATGCCATGATTTTCATCAAGAGTTTGCTAATTTTTTGAGAAGGCCTAGATGGAGTTTATCATTTTGTTTTAGGCCTATCATTTAACTTTGATTTTTACCAACTTGGCCTAGTTTTTGGGACATGTTATCACTTTCTGATGGCTGTTATAATTAGCATGACTAGTCATGCTACTGTTGTCCATGCATGGAACTCTTCCTAGTGACCCATTTCATCCATGGTGTATTTTGTCATGCTTTGACATTAACCCTAACAGCCAAGGGTGCATGTAAAATCGTATTGAAATTTGGGACTGTTAGGGTTAAACTTGTTAAAGTCTCACCTGTCTGAACACACAATTTTATGAAAAGAGTTCCATAGAGAGTCCGAATAAACCAGGACTCAGTGAATTGCCTCTTATAACATTTGGACATTGTCAGCAAAAGTCAGGATCAAGAGTCCCACAACCTTCTGTAGCCTAGGCCTTGTCATGCTTTTGCCCCGAAAAAATAGTCTTTAAATTGTCAAATGTGCCCATTGTAAGGTTCAGTACGAATCAAAGATTACAGTGATGGTTTTAAGGTTCACTTACATGTACATTTGGGTCATACTATAATTCTGGGGTCTGATTTTTTACTTTCTTTGTTACATTAGTTGAGTGACTTTTTAATGTTTTGAGTTCATTCTTTAATTTCCAAAATTGAATAAGTCCTGCAAATTACCTGTCAAATAGAAATAATTTGAAATCAATTTCATTTATAAATCCTGTGTCAAAGTATACATGTCAGGTGTAAGAATGACAGAAAAATGTTACACGTGGGACCCAAATTTAAAGAATGACCGATTTAGGAAGAAAAGAGAAATTTCACGTCAGCCAGAAATGTGCACTTTTCTACTGCCTTGCTCAATGCACATGGCCCAGCATGCGTGTGGCCTTCAACTTCAAACGACCATAACAAAAACAGCAAAAATGTATATCAGGTTGAGTTGAAAATCCACAGTTGTACTGATCAGGAATGTTTTACATGCATGCCAAGTTCATTAAAACAGGGCATGATGGGACGGCCAAGTTCTTCAGGAGGGGGCAGGAAGGAGAGATGTGGGGATACGAGACAGTCTAAAATAACCCACTCTTATTGAGTTTTATTACAATTGCCTTTCTTACCTTTTTTTTGTTGACAGCATCCTGGAGGTGAAGAGGTCCTTCTTGAACAGGGAGGTAAGTTAATTCTCGACTGGAGACCTAACGTTATGTACTTATGTCCAGGATAGACAACACCTTGGCTGCATGGTGTGGATGTTTCCAGGAAGGAGACTTATCAGATCTGTTTGGCAAGGGGGGGGTGGCATTATTTCAAGAGTGGCAGACTGACAATTGGTGAACGGTGGAGGAGAGTAGAGCAGAGGCATTTTCATGGAAACTTCCCTTGTCTTTTTCTTTTCTTTCCCAATTTTGTTGGCCTTTTTTCTTTTTTATTGTTGCTTTATAAAGTGCCTATTTTGCCCTTTTTAATGCTGTTGGAAAGTAAGTTAGAGTTTATAAACAGTTCATTCATTTGTTTCTCAAAAGAAGAAATTAACATTTGAAAAAAAAAGTCTTTTCAGTTTTTGATTTGAAAAAAAAGGATAAAATTAGAAAACAAGTAATTGTCTTTTGCAGTTTAAAAATGAAAAGCAATGAAATCTATTTAGTACACTTTTCAAGGAATGAAGTTTGTGTTTGTTGATGAAGAAAGTAACCATGGCTGCAATGGAGGATTTTGAGGAATTATTTGCCAATCTACCACCAAGGTAAAAGAAGGAGCAACTTGTGCAACTGTACCCGCTGAACAAGCCCTATTTCACACTAACCCAAGTGATGTATGTCTTGATTCTACGTAACCATACATGTTGTACTAGTATACATGTATGTTGCTGCACCAGGAGAATGCAGTGCAATGTTAAGGGGCTGTTAAATGCTACATGGATGTTTTCTTTTTTACCTTAGACCTCACGTCGAGCTAGAAAATAGTACTTATTGTAAGTTTGTTGTATGCTGTGCTCTCGTCAACTGGTGTACAGTTTATGATAGTATGGTGCTTCAGCCCACGTAATGCATGGTTGGTAGTACTGGTACATGTGAGAGTACCGAAGTGTGATGTCATGTCACTGTCAACCTGAAAGTGCAGTGCAAACGAATGGATTACGTGTGCGTTTTGGTTTACGCACTGGTTCTCGCCCTACAGCCTTTTATAGGCATACATACATGTACATATTAATTTCAGTAGTCTATGGTTCTTCCATCCAAATCAAACTCCAGGTGGTTGGGGTTAATACAGCCTATGAAAATGCACTGTTGTTTTTATAAACATAGTTTATTTTATTTATTTATTTATTTATTATTATTAATTATTTTTGCTATTCTAAAGTGTATTTTGGTGCATGTTTGTTTTTTGCGCAAAGGAGTTACGAGTATTTGTATATTCACAGAGGAAACTGTGATGTCATCCTAGGAAGGAAGTCTCAATGTAACATTGTTTGGTGCACATGTACATGTAGTGCTACACAAAAAAATGCTGAAAGTTGGAACATTTGGCTGGCCTAAGTACTTTTGCTATAGTGATTTATTGTTTCAACGGTGCTGCACCATTAAACATTCAATCTTGTACAATATCTCCTACTTTCTTATTCTGAAACAATCAGCGGCAATTGTCAATCAGAAAGAAATTGCCAACAAGTCATGCTGTAAGAGAAGACTGACCTTTTGAGCAAAGATCCAGCGATTGTGCAGATTAACACAGTGACTGCACCTGGCAACAGATGAATGGCATGTGAGAGGCCATGTACGAAAACTTTGTGGCTTGAACCCTTTAATTCTTGTGAGTTGTTACAACAAGATTTGAGTGTTACATGTTCGTGTACTGGTACATGTGCTCCTACACACCTCGCTGTGCAAATCAAAGGTTGGTTCTCTGTCTGCTTGTGGGTTTTCACAGAGCGAACTTCGGGATCTTTTTTGTCTGAGGCCAAGACTTATTATAGTCATGAAAGAGTTCTGAGTCTGGCATCTCAGAGAAAGTGTTTGATATCAGAGGGTATATATGTACAATATAGCATTTTGCATATTAAATAAGATTTCTTCATGGACATGGAATGTATTGTACCGGTAGTTCTGTTATTGTCTGTGAGTGAGCTAGTATTGTTTAAATATGGGAAGGATGATAGTGTACGAAGCTGGATTGGAAGGCCTTTCTTTTTCGTAGTGGTTCCACAAAACATTTCAAGGAAGACAGTGCTCTGCACATCTGCATGTACAAATGTGCATGTATGGAAGCACACAGCTGCATGTAAGCTGAGATGTTAATTCAGTTCAGAGAGCAAGTCATTCAAATAAAGATGTTCAGTTGCTGGTGGGCATTGCCATTTCCTGCCTGAGCTGTGTGCTGGCAAATCATGCAGGTACCTGTGTATTTTCAGAGATACTTGTACGTGTACAGTGTACATATACGACGACTCACACATCGCATTTTGAGGCCTTGAGAGTTTCATGAGGTTGTCCAACAATTTTGTATAAGTGAGAAAACCTTTTCTGGAGTTGCTTGAAAGACTGAATAGGTTAAGAACGCCTTCCTGGCAGAGGTTAACATAACATTCAGTCATGGTTGTTGGATATCTCAGCGATTTGTCCGTTGGCACAACGTTGTAATAACAGGTGTGTAACATAGCCTGAGGGTGGATAGTCGAGGGGACCAAATATTAGTTATCTGCCCAAAATATACTGGTACCATGACATGTTTGTTTCATCACACCGCCAAAAAAATTGAGGACAGAAATCATTGAGTACAGGAAAATGCTAATCAGCATACACGTACATGTACATGTATGTACCATACATGCCTCTGTCTTTCTACGGTAGCTATGATGATATTTATGCGTGATTGCTTTATGATACATTGTACACGTAGGTATGCAAATCTAGACTGCCAGCGGGATTACATGTAACTGGGCAGCAATATTTGGCCTGTGCAAAACATGGAACGAATGCAATTGCCAACCTATTATCAAGCCATTCAAAAACAAGGATTTAAAAAAAAAAATGTTTAAACGTCTTTTTCTTGGGGAATTACATGTACCAGTACATGTAGGTTGGTAACTGTGACCAATATCTATTTTTGCATAGAATTTCTCTGGAGGCTAACTCAACTTGGCCCAAATCCTGCCACCATATTCCAACCTGGAAACACAAAGCAATTGCCATGCAAAGATAACGCAGCTGAGCATTGCCCTGTAGGCTGCACTGTCACCCTTGGCCATCCCAAATCCTTCAGAATCCCATCGTGAGGTCTTTTGTGGGATATTGTGAGACTGAACAAGATAGAGCCCTTTTCCATTTCCACATTGTACATTGGACACTAGAGTGCCCCCTTGAAAGTTCAAATGCACAAAATAGATGTTTCTTGGTTGTTGCTCTATATTGGATAATTGAGGTCAGTCTGTTTGTGAATTAATGGTACATGTACCTGTAGTTAGGGTGAAAACCCTACCAATCTTCAGTCCACTCATTTCTGGATCAGTTTTCACACAGGGTGTGTGACAAATGTGCTTGGTAGAATCTTCACCAAGTTGTGTTTGCCTGCCGCAAAATTGACTGGTCTTCACTTTACATGTACATGTACATGCTTGAGAACACACTAGACATACGCTTGTTCCTTCTTTTCTTGGATTGGAAAGTGGAGTAGCTGATCTGCTGAAATCTGAACAGAAATTGTTTTCTTCTTGCTTAAATCCGTAACAGCCCTCAATACTACAAAGCACTGGATATTACATGTACATGTAGTAGTAGAATGCACATGTAGTATTCAGTGCTGTCGTTTGTAAGAGGACATGACTTTATTGTTCTCTGAAGCTATAAAATACAATAGATACATAAGACAATGTACCATACAGTGCTGTGGCACTATGAATGGACGACTTTATTGTTCTCTGTATGAGTAACAATGGAGGGCGCCCTAGCCAGAAATAGTAATTTGTAGCGTTAGGCCCTTCAGGCACAGACTATTGCTTAGTATTTTGTAGTACTGAGTTCTGCAAGCCAACTTTTATGCAGAACTGTTAATAGTGTGAGTGTTATCCTGCGTTCAGTAATAGAGTACCAAAGTGAATACATCATGTGCACAATTAATGTGTAAAAGGCATTAGTGCGAAAACCAGCGCGAGAACCAACACGTGCGCGTACTCCATTCGTTTGCACTGCACTTTCCAGTTCACAGTAACGTCACACTTCAGTACTCTATTACGGTACATGTACACGTAAAAACACTGGGCAGTGAAATACTGATCATACTGTCATGTCTGTGAGCCTCTATGCTGAACAGCAGTAATTATGTGTTTGAGGGCTCAAAAATTGCCAATAATATCAGAGACGATCCCTGGAGCAGCATAGCCACATTTTGGCTCCACATTTCTCATCAGGGCCTTGGGATTTGGGGATGCTAAGGTTGAATTTGCAATCAGACAATCTGACGTTTTCCCAAAAGATTGCCTTCTTTGTACTTGTACAAGCTCGGAAAACAGCCTGTAAATGTCGATACATGTAGCTGTCCAAGCACTTTAGTTTGTTTTTTCTGTGTTTAAATTCAACCTCTTTTGATAAACACGTTTATAATGGACAGAGCTGAAATGTTATTTCCCTCGTTTTGTTTTTTTGGGGGGGTCCTTTTTTTTTTACTTGTGGGGTCCCTGGTTTCCTTATGTACATGTATAGATAATGCATCTTTTTTAAGTGTTAATTGTTTAAAATGGCCTTTGTGCTCTCTACAGTGAAATACTCACATGTAGGCTACATCCATGTATGGAAAGCCTACGAAACAATGTTCAAGTGCTACGTTTGTGACAGCTTTGAAGTTATAGCATCTTCTGTGCACCGGGACACATATGGTGAACATATATGTACATGTACATCTACCCCCTCTCTAATAATGCCATCATTGCTCTCTTTTTCTTGATTGCTCTTGCAGGAGCGAACGCCACAGAATCATTTGAAGATGTAGGCCACTCATCAGATGCCAGAGAACTCATGAAAGACTATCTGATTGGTGATCTGGCCGAGGTAAACAACCTGCGCATTTTCACTTACAATGTATACATTTCTTTCCCCCATTTGGTTACTATACGGGGAGTTCAGTCAGGGGTGGACGTAATAGAAAGTGCAGTCAAGAGTAGAAATGGAAGCAGTTAAACATTCCACTACAGTTTTATTAATACCTGTGTACTCGGATGAGTGGTTCAGTATTTGTGATTAGACACCACACTCTCATGCTTAAAGCCACATTCACACAAAATGAAAAGGGAGGCTTGTGACACACTTCAATCATAGAATTGTCTGGCACCACATTCAACAGCAGGGTTTGATATAAAGTGGCGCCTCAGCACTATTAGCACCTGGGTCCCGATGAAAAGCCTCAGGACTTTGTATGTTGAATATGTTCCTTGTGCTAAAAGTAACCCTTGGGCCCTCCCCATGTTCACTACATTTGAAGAAACCCTTCGAGATGAGGAAATTGGCGAATGATATGGAGAATTCTCCCACACTAAAAACTTACATGTAGGCGATCAACATTTCTTCCCCTTTTTTCCCACTCCAAACCGTAACTGTAGTGAGTTATGCAAGGTAGTCTCCCTTCACTGTTGAAACTCATGCGGCTTCGGCACAGTATGCTGGTGCTTGCCGCTGAAAATACACTCGTGCGAACAACAATGCAATAAGTGGGAACCAGTCATAGCCAATCACTGCATCAACAGTACAGCTGTTGAATGGGTCGTTGTAATATGCGTGTTGCCGGGGCACAAGCATCGTTGGAAACCATCCTAAATATCAAACAGATCACGCTCATCAAACTCTTGAATGACTTTTCCTGTGAGTTCACGCCCAAAACTTAAATGTGCCCTCTCTCTATGTGCATTTTCTTTTTTCAAGATCAATTTTGAGGTGCCATTCTTTTGTATGTAGCCATTCATCGCAACAACATTTACTGTTTTTAGCATGAACAACTCACGCACGTGTTAACTTGCAGGCGTACGGGCAGATCACGCTCATGTGCGCTGTTTTCTCTTCACATGTAATGCTCAAGAGAGCATAAATTTCCTTCATTTTCGATAAAAGATTAGGTCAAGAAAAACCAGCTCTTCTTCTGATTACTTGCCTCTCCTCAAATTCTTTTTTATGAGCATTCTGTGAATTGACATGCAGAAATCTTCTTGCCAAATCGGTGTTTTCTCCAACGTGCAGCAGTACAGCTGCATGTGTATGGTGTGCAGTGCAACGACACTGGTTGCTGCATTTCCATCATGCCTTCTTTGGTAATGCGGTACAGCGGGAACCAGTGTAGCATTGCCCCAATGCACAGAGCATTGCACATGGGTTTTCACCACCGCGATAGCAAAATGCGACGGGAACTTGTGAAAATAATGGAAGTTTCTTTTCAAAAGTTGCAAGCATATAAATACAAGTGTGAAAAAGTTATTGAGAGGTGTTTGGTGTAGACAGAAAAGACAACAGTTTTTCTTAATTCTTTTTTTTTTTTTAATGTGTTTTTCTAACATGCCATTAAACACGTTTGGGTCTCATCAAAATTAGGGCCGGTCAGGAATCCAAAGGTAGAACTATTTTTTGGCCCTATCAACCTTTTATAAGTTAATTAACTTTTGACTGCAGAACTCATGGAGAAATGTTTTTGTGGCTAAATGCGTACACTCAAGCTCATCAGAATAGAATAAAGGCCCTTGTCTACATGTTGATTTCAGTATATTCATGTAATATAGGGGGGAAAATGGGTTAGGTCACTTGCCTTATAAAAGTCCTATGATCTTTCCCCAAATTTAATAGCCCTGGCCAATGGGCTGTGGCCCCTGGTCCCTGAAATCTAACATGTACCCAGGGGCTAAAATTAGCCCTGGGAGCCAACCATCTATTTCTATCCCTGCAACAACACGCAGTTCCTAGAATAGATTCAGGGATTGTGACCGGAAATGACTTCCTTTAGAGTAAGGCTCTTTGCTTGCTGTTAGCTGAAGTCAGTCATGTCATATTCCATTTATGTTTAAAGACAGTACACTAGGACTTGCTTGAAGTATGAAAACTAATAGAGTATGCTGTCTAGACTTAATCATGATACCTTGTGGAAATGTTTCATCTTCCCAAAAGTGCCAATCAAAAAGCATTTGAAGCAAATATTTTGAATTTTAACACAAGGTAATTAATTGAATGAATAGCATTTTCAAATTAAAAAATTGCAGCATGATATATTTAGTTATATGTGACCCACTCTGTGAAAATGAGTCATTAGTTGCCAGAGACACTTTTTGAGTTTTCATTTGTATTGGAAAGAGCGAATTGAGATTTTGTTTTGATGTATCACTCACTTTGGCATCGTGATGAAAGTGGATACTCCATGTTGAAAAAAGCTGTGGATTTCCTATGATTTTACACTACAGTGCACAATTACTCTAAAGGACTTTTTACTCCCAAGTGGCTCTGGCGACCTTAAGATTCATTTTCACAGAGTGGGTCACATATGTTGGGTGATGAACCTTTTTAGTTTCATTCTCCCATGTCACTGTTGAGCTCAAAATAACCACATTCTTCTCTGTTTGTTTTTTTGCTGGTGACAGGCGGACTGGGAAACTTCAATAAAGGTGAGGATCAGATGCTGATTGGTTCAAACTATATCTGAGATCAGTTTGCCCTGAAAAGGATCCAAGTAATTCTTGAGTCCTAGCGAAATTCAAACTTAGACCTGGTAGTCATCTCAAAGCTATGTGTACATTGCACAGTGACATGCAAGTTACAGCAGTTCAATAGCGTGATGTGTTCAGGCAGACACCACTTGGCAACATGACAGTGCAAATACTGGACAAAAGCTGCGCCCTTTCCAGTCCACTTGTTACATGTACACTGTATGTGCGTGGATAGCTAGTCATTATACATGTACTTGAGGTCCAGAGTCCGCATACTCTCTGTTCAAGGGCCACCAGAAGAATGATAGCGGCCTGACTGCGAAACGTTTGGGTGGCAGGGTGACCTTTTACAGAGAACTGTGTGGTTGAATCAACTTAGTTTTACTCTCCCTTGACAAAAACGTTGTACGGACAGTGATTGCATGCTGCATTTACATGTACGCGCATTTGTGCATTGTACATGTGCTGTCCCCTTATTGTCATGGTGTTGAGTTGCACGGTTATAGTTTAATGCCACTGAAAAAATGCCATCAATAGTTACAAAGTTTTTTTAGGGGGGAAAGGCTTTTAAGGCCCATCATTAAAACTTCTGATGTGGTTTGTTAAAATCGGGCACAATAAGGCAAGATGTCAGATTTTGATTTGCTGCAGTATGAGTAGAATGTAAACCTTATGATTTTAACAGCCTCTTTAGTTTTTGAAAGAAAATATTGCTTGACTGAAGGAATTAGATTATGAAGTTGGACCCTGTGGATTGTCAGAAGACAAGAAAGTATCCTATGAAAATCAGAGTTTAGTTTAAAAAAATAATGAAATTTCACATAATGTTTTAAGCATAGCAGTATCACAAAATTCCAAAATGCTTAAAATCATTGAAACTTGCCTGTTGTCATTTTTAGCGGTTTCCTTCTTCGTAATTTTGCCCCTTGCCGCTCGCTCTTACCTCATCACATTTATGTCACCACTAAAGTAGAAATCTCCACGGCATTTTTTTTTTCTGTTTGTAAGTTTCGTTTTGACAATTAAAAAAAAGAACAGAAAAAAATTTGCAGAGTACTTTTGATTGAACTGCAAAGACCTTTTGACTTGAGAGGCACCATAACTGATGGCCTTATCAAGTTTAGAATACTGCAAGCACTATTTTGGTGCTGGGTTTGGGAATGCTTGCAGTAAGCTGACTGTACTTACAAGTTACAGTGGCCCCAAAATATCTGCAGATTAAAGTTCAGTTTAAACAGCTTGGCATGTCAGTGTTTGATTTGTCACGTTTACCTCGACACACGCGACCTTGAAATACATGTGAACAAAAGTTACCCCTGGTGTTCGCCTGTTATGTAAGAAATGATTCTGAGATGAAGTTGTCTCTTGGCTGCTATACTTTGTGGAGGATTAGACTTTTCCAGTAATGTTAAAATCTTAGGGCGAAGTGTTGCTTGTGTTCATGCTGTGATATACATGTACACTAAATTAATGCCATGGATTGCATGGATTTTAGGAGATGAACAATAACTCTTGTAATGGTTACTGTTGTTGAAGGTGAAGGAGTTTGATAGGGAATCGGCTCTTTGCAAAGCGATGTGTGTCTTGCACAAGGGGATGTTTATCAGAGCTTTAGTTCAGGCCATCACAAGTCTTTCGCAAGTCATTCAGTCTTTGGTGAAGTCACAACGTATTCAAATGAACTGGTAGCAAATGCATTCCTTTGTCACTATTCACTCTGTAACTTATGACTGGTCACGTGAAAGGCCTTGTGACCGGACTTGTGACAGGATCCATGAGAGGACTTGTGATGGACTCAGCTACACTACAGCACTGATATTTACAAAGTTTGAATTTTTTCTCTGATGCGATAAGTTCGCAGAGAACTTTTGCAGTTAAATTGTTTTTGACGGTAAATTTATGTCGTGTGGGTACAGTGTACATATAGTTTTTTGAGACGACAGATCACACTTTGTGCTAACTCTGTCCTTTGGCAATGGTTGAATGTTTTAGACCAGCCAACACATGAGGAGAAATCAACCCTCCCAAAGATTCACATGAGTTTGGAACACGTTATTTTTGAAGTCCTCAATAAAATGCCCTCTGTTGAAAAGTTCTGCACTCGCTTTGTGTTAATGATTTATAGCATGGACACTTTTCTTATTTTCTAATAGACAAACACAGGACCTAATGCGCCCGAAGCACCATCAGGAAGGTTGGTCAAGAATTTCATGTTTCTTATTTGCAATCAAATATATCTGTGTTTTGCTTTGTTGATTTTGTGTGGAGTGAGATAATGGCAAATTAGAAACAGTTACTTGCAAATCTTTGCCTGCTGGAAGTGAAATTCCTTGGTGTAATTCCTTGACACATGCAGACAGCCCTTTGTTTTCATTTCATTGTGTTATGGGGGCATTTGGCACTCCAGTCTTGTGTTTTGAATTTGGTTGAACAAGTTAATATTTCGTGAATATAGCTATTCGCTTTTCATCATTAGGGAGTGTTTCAGGTGAACAAACATACTGAATGTAGGATGTTATCTCGGGTACTGAAAAATGTTCTTTGTTGCCAGTTGTTGTTATTTTCATGAATCAAAGAAAGCAGTGTTGCAGGGGAGTCCATCACAAGTCAAGACCAGTCACAAGTCCCCTCACTTGACCTGTTGCAAGTAACAGGCCAATCACTGACAAAGGGAATGCACTTGTCAGAGTTCATTTGAATAGCTTGTGACTTGACATGTGATTGGATGACCTGTGATGGACTTTTGATGTCACTTGTAGGGACTTGTGATCGACTTGACTGCAATGGTTGAGGAAAGCACATGCGTTTTATGATACTATATGATCAATGATTATACTTCATGATTTTTGGATTTTTTTTACTGGGAGATGCCGCACGTTCATTCCTGGTGGGAGTCTCCTGAAGCTTGCCTGCATTGCATGCTAAATGCCCCATTAAGATCAGCAGCTAAATTGTCAAGTATTCAAACCAGTGTGCATCAGAATTTGCATTGAGAAACCATAAGTTTTCTTGGTGGCAAGTCTGTGAGACGTATGTGAGCATGTATCATGCACATGTTAAGATATATCAATGTAGAAAAACTCGTTGCCTATTGCCTGACAAAGCTGAATTATTTTGGGCCTTTTCACCTGAGACACTGAAAAAAGACAACACCTGTTCCCTGGACAGCAGTTTAACACTGGCAAACAGCAACTCAAGAGACAACTACAAAGTAATAACGCTGTATTTTTTAAGGCAGTTTTAGTGTTAAATCCAGAAACAAGGTATGCTATGTGGCATTCAGTATAGTTTCACAGTCATTATTGGGTCCTGGTGTACATAGAATATGGTACATGCTATTATTCCCTCGGCACATACATGTATGATTTTTTTCTTCTCGATTGACTACCTTTTTTGTGTGTACCCGTTCTTTTGATGTCTTTTTGTGCTGGTGTGTTCTTTCCAGTTCCCAAAGCAGTAGCGAAAATGCTGGAGCGGATTCCCGATGGTATCTGACCTCTTGACCTCTTCCCTAATCTCTAGCCTGTCTTTTCCCTAAACCGTGCATGTCTTTACCTGGCAACTAAGACAATACCCACTATGCATTTAGTTGCTATATTCACAAACTACTGACACACACTTTGACTTAATTGATAAGGAACAATTTCTGAGGAACAACTTCTGTAATAGTCCCCTCCCCCCATTCCCCATTCTCCCTCCGACCGGTACCTCCTGTGCATGCCCCATTCTGTTTTCCCTGCCCTTCCTGCTCTCCATCTTTGTTTCTCCCCACCCATTGCTGATCCCCATCTATCCATGCCATCCTACCCCCTGCTGTTCCCCCATCCTGCTGCTCCCTGTCGCCCACGTGCTCTCTTCCCTTGCTGCTCCCCACCCTCTCAGTGGCTCCCACCCTGCTGTTCTCCCTTGCTACTCCCCCACTCTCACTGGCCCATACCCTTCCTGTTCCCCACCCTTGCTGTTCCCCAGTCTTGCTGCTCCCACACCCCATGCTTCTCCCAACCCTTGCTGCTCTTTCATCCCTTTCTGCTCCCCACCCTTGCTGCTCCCCACCCTTG